ATTCTTTTAAAGTTGAGTTATCACTGCACCACTTTGTGTATTATATGAATACTGAGGATCATAGAGCTCCCACAGAAACAGCACTCCTGTTTTGTGTTGCGGCTGCAGCTTGCCGCCTCTGAGGATGACCTACAGGATGCGCTCTCCACCATCTCCCTGGTGACAAAACTCCAGCAGGACATCTCCACCCTCCATGCTGCTGTCACGACAATACAGGCTGATGAAAGCTCTGCTTCCCGTGATCTGGAGAAGGTCAACGCCCACTTCCTCAATGTGACCGAGACGTGGCAAGAGAGTCTGGCAGCCATCAACTCCGATCTCACCTCACTCAAGGCCGAGTCCAGGGACACTCATGCAGGAGCCACAGAGCGGGTGAATGAAGCCGAGCGGAGAATCCGTTCGCTGGCGGAGAGGCTGGAGGAGCTCAAGGACAGCACAAAGAGGAACGCCCGAGCTCTGGAGCGCACAGAGGAGGACGACGTCAAGCGAGCGCAGGATCAGCTGGACTGGAACACCAAGCAGATCCACAAGCTGGAGGAGCACATCGGCATCCTGAACAAGAGGGAGGCCGAGCTAAGCTCTCAGCTCCAGGAGCACATTCCCCGTGCGAGGGCCTGCGAAGAGCATCTGCCGGAGGTAGAAGAGGCGGTGCGATCCATCCTCAAACTGGGTGGAGATCTGAGCGGGATGGAGAAGAGGCTGGAGGAGGTGACCTTGCAGGTGTTTGGCACCGAGGACAGCATGTTGAAAGCAACAAATGAAATCCTTGAGATCAGACAGGAGCTGGACACCCTGCAGGCTCAAAACAGCATCATGAAGATGAAAAATGAGTTGTCCGTGGTTAAAGAGGCGGTCCGTGAACTCACCATGGTGTTGAGGGAAAGTGGGGTTGACAGCCAAATAAACTCTGACGCTCTGGAGGAAGTGGAATGGAACGAGGAGGAGGAAGAGTGGGTGAAAGATGAAGAGGATAAATTGACGGAGCCTTTTCTTGATGACCTCACTGAATGATGTCATTGTTTTTTTTGTCCACTAGGAAAAATGAGTAGGAATGTCCTGTTTAACTGTACGCTGTAAATCCCTTAAGTTGAGTTTAGTAGTATCTCTGTAAACTTTGTACCTCACTTTAATGTCAGAAAACTAGCCTGATGTCAACATGAGCTCATTAAAACACTGCACAGTATTACAGAAGTTGGATACATTTACCTTTGTGCACCATTTTATTAAATATGCCCGACTACTCTCAAGGTATCCATATGCACTGATACAGTTTTACAGCATTAAATGTGCCAGTCTCTGTCCAGTCTTCTCTGTTTTTCTCTGTTTTATTCAAATGTAAACTGGATATTTTTTAGGTTTTAAAGTTTTGATTGAGAACAAAGCAATTTCATATCACCACCTTTGATGCAAGGTCGTCATTGTGCCATTTTCTTTGCGCGTTTTTGTTGTTTAAACAGCAAAAGATCCCCTGATCAGTTGGAAACAAGCAATAATGAACAGCGTCAATAAAATTTCTAAGTGTTCGATTCGATTTTAAACAGAAGAAGCTTTGCAAATATCAAGACAATCCACATATTTGAATGTCGCGTTTTCATCTTGTTCTGGTGTCACCTGTTGTGTCTCTAAGCTTATTTAATAAAA